AAATATGAAATAATTATATTTGTATTAATTAATTTTTTCATTTATTTTACATCTCAATAGAAGTTTTCCCTCCTTCCTCTCCTCTCCCTTCCTTCTGCCTCCCCTCCATCCACTCCTCCTCTCCATTAATAAAGGGGAAGACCTCCCATGGGTGTCAACAAAATTGAGGCATCTGGCTGGCATCAAGGCTGGGTGTGACAACCCAGCATGGGGAATAGTTTCCCAAAAGCCATCTCAAGAACCAGGGACAGGCCCTGATCCCACTGCTAGGAGCCCCTCACACAAACCAAACTATACAACTGTCACACACGCAGAGGGCATATATCAGTCCCATACAGGTTCCCTAGCTGCTGATCCAGAGTCCATGAGTTCCCATAATCAGATTGGTAACTAGCCTAATTGTCATCATAGAACCTTCATCCAGTAACTGATGAAAGCAGATGTAGAGATCCACAGCCAAGAACTGGCTGAGCTCCAGGAATCCTGTTGAAGAGGGGGAGGAGGGTATCAAGGTCATAACGGGGAAATAGTTATAATTTTATGTGACATCGTGCCTTGCTGCATTTCACATACAATTGCAGATTTAAATTGAAAAGTTTTGGCTTTTTGTTGTTTTTGTTTCGTTTTGTTTTGTTTTGTTTTGTTTCACTTTAAGCATAACCAGGGATCCCTGTGGATATGTCACACATAGGAAAACCAAAAGAAAAATGTTTTATCTGGATAAAAGTTGAAATAATGTGTCTACATCACCTGACATTAGTTGGGTTTTCCTCTTTTTTTGAAAAGTTGATTGTGGTATAGTTTAACTTGAGATCCACACCATGACAGGAAGCCCATGCCTTCTTCTGCCTGGATGGCCAAGAACCAGAGACTGAGTAGCCCAGAGACTTAGGATAGAATCATACAGGACTGGCAAAAAGAAAAATCAGTGAAAATTAAATGATTCCTGATGATATTCTGCTATACCCCTAAATGCCTAGCCCAGTTGTCATCAGAGAGGCTTCCTCCAGCAGCAGATGGGAGTGTGGCAGGACCCACAGCCAGAAATTATAATGAGAGAGTCTAAATTGCAGGTCTCCATCAGGTCCTTCCATTTGGAGGTCCAGGAACTCTACGTAGAGCTCCAGGAACTCTAAGAGTCAGAGAAGATGATGGACACAAGGAGAACATGGCCCACCAAATCAGCTAAGCAGAGCTCACATGGGCTCAGAGTCTGAAGCAGCAAACACAGGGTCTCCATGGGTTTGCACCATTTCCTCTGTGTATATGTATTGATTATTACCTTGGTGTTTTTGTAGGACTCCAACAGTGGGAGTGGGTGTATCTTAGACTCTTTTGCCAGCTCTTAGAACTCTTTTCCTACTATTGAGTTGCTTTGTCCAGCCTTAATATGAAGAATTTTGTCTTGTCTTATTTTATCTTGTTCTGCCATGTTTGGTTGTTGTCTCTTGGAGGCCTGCTTTTTTCTAAAAAGAAATGGAGGGACAATAGATGTGAGGGGAGGGTAGTGGGAGAGGACCTGGGAGGAATGGGGGAGGGAAAATTGTGGTGAGGTTGAATTGTATAAGAGAAGAATCTCTTTTAATTAAAAAAATTAAGGAGAAAAAGAAAAGGTGATTGAGTTGAGACCATTATTGGTATTATACTTCCCATGCAGATTCATGACACAAATTAATAAATTGTACTCTTTGTGTTCTTTAAATAAAAAGATATGGAAGTGAATATATCCTCCCCAGTGTCTTAGAATGGAAATTATTCCTAGCAGCTTAGCTTTACATTAATCACTCTTTTTGACATTTCCTTAAAATCCTTCTAATCACTCAAAAATGTGCAAGAGAGTGTGTTGATTTTATTCTACTTGGAACTGTGTTCCTTTAATGGGTACCTTTTTGCATTCCCTTTTGGGGAGTCTGTGTAATGAAATGTATATTAGGCATTTAATGCCTGCCAGACATTTAAACTGTTTTGCATTTAAAAGCATGAGCTGACCTTATCAGATGCCGAAAAACTGAAGTAATTGTATCTTGTACTAATCAAAATGCCTTCTGTGATAACAAAAGTGAAATCCAATTACACTGTATTATGAAGCTATTATTCCTGATGCTTGGTAGCTTGGTAATTAAGTACATATTTTAATGTTAAAGAAATACAATCATTTTCTTAGGCAGCTATATTTACTACACCTTCAACTAACTACACTTTAAAAAATACATAGTTGTCATCAATACTATAAAGAAAAGAATCACATCAAAAATCAATTCTCAGCAATGCTTTTATTTTCTTGGCCTGTTCAAGCAAGGTATGTGCAACTAGAATAGAATGTTTTCCACCTACACTTGTGTTTCATTTGAACAAATTATCTGAAAAACAATTACTAAAGGGATGAATTGTGAGCCTGGAGAAAAAAGACTCCTTAATTCCTATAAGGGAAATGGTTAGTTGTAGAGACTAGAAATCCAAAGCCTGACACTGGTGTAAACTAGACTTCCCTGGAGCTATATTTCTACCAGTGTTTTCTGTGATGCTGCATGTGCAACAAGATAAAGCCCCAGATCCAAAAACTCCCATTTGCTTTATCCTAAATCACTGACTGGCTCTTTTTATCAAATGCCCTTACATACATCAATAGGCTTCCTAAACTCTGTGAATTGCCTGTACTTCCTTTGGATCAGCAACACCTTCATTTGCATATGGCCCAATCTTTGGTCTCTATAAATTTTAAAATACATAATTATTCAATTCTCAGTGAAAATGGTAGCACTCTCTCTGGTACCTAAGTACTTGACGAGTAGTGGCAGATTTGTATAAACACATGCATCTCTGAGGACTTGTCTAATGTTAGATAATTGTTTCCAATAGAGCTGGGGGTCTTGAAAAGCATCCAACATCATTCCTACTGTGAATAATTGTTACGCTCCATGACATCTCAGCACCTCTGAAGACCAACCTTTAGTTCTAGGATCCATGCTCCAATCTCAGTCTCAGATATCTGGGTGCTGTCTTGTCATCCCTCCAGGATGATTTCCTGCTTTCCTTCATCAGAATCTACCCTCTAATGTCAAAGGCTGATCTTTCAGATGCAGAAGAGAGACAATGAGTCTGGCCTTTTCCCTTCACTTTGACAAGTAATTTGTGGGATGATTCATTCTTACAGAATGTAGACTCTCTTCTCACTCAGCCATCATCTTCAGAGTTAGAGAGACTGTGTCTTTCTCCCAACATCAACCCAACCTTATTTTTTTAGAAGATGTAGATGGTGGTGGAACACACTTTTAAACCCAGCACTCAGGAGTCAAAAGCAGGTGCATCCCTATGAGTTCTAGGCCATCTTGGTCTACAAATCCAGTTCTAGGACAGCCAGAGATACACAGAAAAACTTAGTCTCAAAGAGAAGATGTTTGAAAACCACACAGTTTATTTGTGTCTGCAAGCATAAATTCATCTACAAACATGAATTCAGCTCACTTTGCTGAGCAAACCTGTCAGATTCCAATTGCCCCCCAAAACACGGCATTATAAAATTGAATACAGAATCATCCCAAGTTCTAGTTTGGATATCTGCATATGTCTTATGCACATGTCTCTCATTGTTAGGTTTTGCATTCAGAGGTGTGCATTGAATTTGTTTCTGGAATGTTCTGTTTCTAACTACCAAAAGTACCTCCTATTCTTTCCAGTGCCTTAAATTTAAAAACAAAATTTTAACAATTGATGATCATGCACATAGAATCTCTTTGCTACATAAAAATATGAAAAATAGTCAATGTTCTAAGAAGCAAACGTTTCAAATCCTGTGTTTCTACTAGAGGTTTCTTACATATAATTATGTGTATGGATCCATATCACAAGAAAGGGAATGCAATGATGTAACCCTATTGTTCCTATCTATATTGAAGTATTTCTATACTACTATATAGTACTGAAAGGTACAAATTATTAATCATTGAACCATTCATACATATACAATGTATTTGGAGGTGAAATTATGTTCATATTGTATAAAATAAGAAGAACATGAATGGTAACTTTGTCTATGAACTTCTAAAATTATCTGATTTTACTTAATCTGAGCTACCACTTATTCTGATTCTATATATTATCCAAGCATCATGGAACATAAAGCTAAAATAAACAAAGGAAAATTATTTTCCTTCATCCAACAACAACAATAATTATTTGTTGACACTTGTTTGGGAGATTTTTTTCCTGGACAGGTACAGTGCCCACCTACCCCAGTTGGTAATGAATACACCAAAGTCCAACTTGGTAAACAATATGTTTAGTAACTAACAGGAGTATGGTTGAGAGTTACAGGAGTAGAGATGTAGATGATGTTTCTGTCCCACTCAGTCCACAGGCATTTAGTGCCAATGAACACACAGAGGCTTATATTAGCTATAAATTGTTAGGCTGACAGCTCAGGCTTCTTATTGGCTAGTGCTATCTTAATTATTAACCCGGTTCTATTAATCTGTGTGTCTCCACTTTGTCTTGGCCTACCAGTAAGGTCCCAGAATCCTACCTTCCTGCTAGCTACATGGTGTCTCCTCTTGTGATTCTCTCTCTGCATTCCTCTTCCCAACCTTCTGATCTGTTAGTAACACCTGTACTTACTGCCTGGCTACATTCTGCCTGTCCATTAGCTGAGACAGCTTTATTCATCAACCAATAAGAGAAACATACATTCACAGTATACAGAAGGACATCCCCATCATAGTGAAGACTCAAAAGCAGCTATATCACTAAAAAAAACCTACCCCAATATGGCTGCCAACTCACAAGCTGCATCCAGGGTCACAGAGTCCAAGAAATCTCCTTTCTGAGCAGCTCAGTTCATCAGCCATCTTCCCCAGGAGTTGTTTTCTGTTCCTATTAAGCTGGGGAGGGGCTGGAGTGAATCTCAAAATTTTCTCTTTCCAGACCTGTAAAGCTTGTTTACTTCCTTGCCCCCTCCTAGAGGGAACGTTTCAATCTGGATGAAACCAGCATACAGTCGCACTACCAAAAATGTTGTACAAATTTGTACTGTCTGAAAAGGATATAAATTATAATCTGAAGGTGGAAAGTTTAGCAGTCAGAGGTGCACAAACAAGGGGCTAAATTAAATCATTTTCCAACCCTTGATGGATACAAGATGTAAAATAATCTGAGTTAGAGTTCAGAACATGGGTGTGCAAGGAACACTCATCTACACAAATGACAGGCTTTGGAATAAAGGAAAATAGTGCGTCTTTGCATAGATAGCACTTTTTATTTAAGTTTCTCACAGTGTCCTCACAAGAATTTTTAAAACGGAAATCTTATGTCTTAATGTTCATTATATAGGGTGTAGCAAAGGAAAGATGAACTGTAAAATAGGAAGGAAAGTAAAGAAAGACTTTGTCCCCACATCTTTTACCCAGAAGCTGCTTCATTCCAAAATAGTAAACAACCACGAAGACATTCAGTTATAGAACATAGGTGAGAGGGTACTTAGTATTATGCACTTCTGCTGGGGTTTTACACGCCCTTATGTATAATGCACACAGAAGAAGTACACAACCTAGTTACAGCTCCCCGGTTTAAAGGTGTGCTTATTTGGAGTTCTCCCAGACCTGTTGTGGAAACCTGTGAGGAAAGAAATTTGTCTGAGTTATTGTCGTTGTTGTTGTTGTCATTGTTGTTGTTTGGTTGGTTTGGTTTTTGAAAAAGGGTTTCGCTGTGTAACAGCTCTGGCTGTCCTGGAACTCACTTTATAGACCACTCTTGCCTCCTCGAACTCAGAGAACTCCACCCACCTCTGCCTCCCCAAGCTAGAAATTTGCCTGAGTTTTAAGGAAGAGAAAACAGAGATTTAAAAGAGCTGGGGTCTTAGTCAAAATCCCTCTAGTTTGTACTAAGTAGTGGATAGAAGCTGCAGTTAAATGTGCAGACCTGGAAACAAATATTTTTGCTTTGTTACTTTCTCAGAGACTTGCAGGGAAAAGATGTTCTTGGGTCTGTAGCCCTATGAACATGTAATTGATTGAATTGTTTCTGAACTGAAACATTCATGAGATTAAATATCTTTGTGTCACAATAATTGAATTATTTGAGTCTATATTATGAAAGCTTCCCTTCTCGTGGTGTTTTTGTTGTTTTATTAACCAAGCAACAAAGCCAATAGTAAAGCTAAACACTAACGTTAGATTTTACTAAAGATTATTTAATTGGCTAATGAGTATTATTCTTTGGTTTGCCTTGATTGTTTAATTTTGTTCTATCATTATATGATTTAAAATATAATGTGCCTACAGCTTCTTTCCTGGATATTTTGACAAACTAAATGAGTTCACAGATGACTGCATTTAGACAAAAAAGACAGTAAGACAAAACTAGAAATGAGCACCAAGGGGATTATATGATGAAAGCTGTCTCAGGAAGACACAGCAGTTGAAAAATAAATCTATTCAACCGGTATTAGAGCACCTACACGTATGAAATGAGCATTAAAAGATCTGAAAGGAAGTCTTGTGCCACTACATTCTTTGAAAACATTAAACTTGATTAAGTGTATCCAATAATTTCCATTTAAATCATAGAGAATACTTCTGTTATTAAAAGTAATTTTATTGATTATTTGGGAATTTCACATCATGTACTCCAATTGTGCTCAGTTCCAATTCTTTCCTTATCTGCCCCCTCCCCAGTGACCTTCCACCACACTCCCAAAAATAAACTGACAACAAAAACAAACAAAAAAAATGATCTTAAAGGAGTAGATACTGTAATATAATTAGAGCAGAACATCCCATTGATAGAAGTAGAATAAATCCTTTTTCAAATGTACTTGAGATAGTCTCCAAGAAATATCATGTGGTAGTCAGCAAAAGTGTGAATAAGCTTTAGAAGACTGAAATCATGTTATGTCATTTCAGACTGAGGTGACGTGAAACTAGAAACCAATTATAGGAAGTTATACACACAAACAACAAAAAAAGACTGAGCTGGCTATATTTATAGATTTGTGCATACAGAAATAGATAAAAGTAATAACCAAAGAAAAATAAGCTATAAGTTTAAAAGTAGGTTATGAGAGAGGGGTTGAAGAGAAGGGACATGTGAGAGTCTAGAGGTAAGGGAAAGGATGAAGTGATGTAATTATATACTTTTTAACAAAAATACTTTTTCAAACATTAAAAGCAATTGTGGAAAACAAATAATATTATTTAATATTATTCTATAATTGAATAAGAAAAAGTTGAAAACTGTCTTGGAAAAATAAAAATAGAGACATATCACCATGCCAAGGTGTATGGAGGTTGCTGAAAAAGTCATTCTAAGTGAGAAGTTTATAGCAGTAAACTCATACATTAAAAAAAGAAAAATTACAAATATGCAACCAGACATTACATTGCTAGGCATTAAAAAAATGAGCAAAGTTCAAAGTTAAAAAAGTAGAGAAAATAAGAAAGAAGAATTGACCAATACTCAGATAGTTCTTCATTGACAAGTTCCTGAGAAAGAGGTAGGGGAATGAGGCAGTCAGAGATAAAGGGGTAGATAAGCTTGGGATCAAGAGATCTAACTCAAGCTAAGTCTTATGCTAAACAAGCTTATTAAGAATGACAGCATATTGTATACTATTAGCAGGAGAGAAATGAGCCAGAGTCAGCAAAAACTATCATACAATGGGACAACGTCAGCATGGGCTAAAGAAACAGTGTTGCTCAAAGGGAGTGAAAGGGTATGTCAAGAGCATTATAGATAGACAGCACAACAGCCTTGGAACCAATAACTCAAATCTCTTTAGCGGAAAAGCCAAGATCCTAGGAACCAGAACTTTGACTCCTCTGAGGCCTTGGCCTCAACCTCAACTTGGCTTTATCAAGTACACTCCTGAACAAGGACGCAGAACTGGGTTCCTTTTGTCCTTTCACCAAATCTTCTGAGAAAGACTTGGATCAGTATGCTCTCAGCAAAGTACAAAGGAGGAAAGGAATAAATAAAATTAAGAATAAGAAAACAGTAGGGAGACAACCAAGAATTTGTTCGTAGATTAAAGGGTCATTATAAAGTAGTAAGTCTAAACTAGACTTCTTGATAAATGTCCTTAAAACATTACTCACAATGCAATGGGGTCACAAGTCCCAGATTTGGGCAATACATTGAGTTTCAGGTCATCATCTGCTGCACAATTAGAGTCTACATTAAAGACAAAGTAAAAACAAATAAAATCAAGGTAGGTATGTCACAGATTGCTTTCTATCTCACCATGCTATCTCTACCTTCCATACATGCTCCGGCCATGATGTCATCTCCCAAGATAAGACTTGCCCAGAAGACCCAGTCCAGAATGGCAGCCGTGCTGTTTGTACTTCAGCTTTCCAAAACTATTGGCTAAATAAATATCCTTAAACAGTGTCCAGCCTTAAGTATCTTCTTGTGCTAGTAGAAAATGGACTAATACAAAGTGCAAATATCAAAAGAAGTACTTGTGAGTAGTATCTTCAGAAGATAAATTATAATAACATGATTATTGCCTAGAAACTGCATTCATCAATATCTTCCCTGGATAAATAGCTGTGTGAAAACATAGGAAGCATTCACTGTGACATTGTCTGTGACACTGAAAAAAATGAAATGAAACCAAGTATTCATCAAGAAAAGAATGACTATGAAAGGTTGGGGAATGGGATTCTATGCAGCTTTTAACAAAGAACTGAGGGGCTGGAAAGAAGGCTTGATGGTTAAGAGCACATGCTGCTCTTATAGAGGACCTCAGTTCTGTTCTCAGTGCCTACATCAGGCAGCTCACAGCCTCCTGTAAATCCAACTTCAGGGGATCTGATGCCACAGACACACTCAAAATAAACAGATGAATGGAAAGCAAGAAAGAAGGAAAGAAGAAACAAAGAAATGAAGAAAATCACCACAATAAACCTGGGAATTTGAATGAAGAATAATAAATGACCTAAAATTGTTCTTATTCAAATAGCTTAAAATATGTCTAGGACTAAAGTTTTAATTGTAACACCATTTGGAGCATGTTTCAAAGACTAACTCACATGATTTCCATTTAAGCCTTATTTTTATAATGAATTTTAAGTTTCTGTAGATTTCCATTCTGACTCACCACCTTCACTGTTAAACTGAAGTTCTTCTGTAAACAAATATAAGATGGAATACTCACCTTTCAAGGTCTCACATTTTTGTTTTGACATCAAATAATGTTTTAGGAAGCTTCTGAAATAGCATAAGAAGCACAAGGCTAAATCCCTGGAATATAATCCTAAAAACCCTAGACCATGACCTCTAGTTTAACCATTCCAGTGCTCATTAAAATTGCCCAGAATGTCACATACCCTCGAGGTGTGGAATGGAGACTAGATGGTCAAATGTGGTTCTTGATATCTGGTGGCTTTTCAAATGTAATTTAGAGATAAGCACATTGACCTTGATTGCCTGTTCCAACTCCTCCTTAAATACTTTATTAGAAGAGCTGAAGCAATAGTTAAATGTGCTTCCTGCCCTTGCAAAGGACTAGATTGAAATTTCCAGCACCCATTGGGTGACCGACAACCATCTGGAACTCCAGCTCCAGGAGATCTAATGCCCTCTTCTGGATGCTGCGCGTACCTGCATGCATATCCACACATGAACACATGGCTACAAACACATTAACAAAAACCAAATAAAACATAATAGAGCAACATGAAGACACCCATTCCACCCAAGAAGCTTTTGCTAATTTCCTGGAAGACTTAGGGTGCAGAGTTTGCACATATTTGATTAAAACACAGTGCTTAAATAGCTAGTCTACCGCTCTGTCATAGTCACAAAAATTACATGTGCCCAGCATAAAAAAGAGATATCTCTCTTGTGGTATTCATAAACCTAGAAAGCTCCTACTTAAAGATGTGAGACATATCCCTACCTAACTCATGCTATAATTTGGATCTTGAATGTATTCCAAAGGACCATGGTGCTGTCCAGACATAGTGAGTCCTTTGTAACCCAAAGTCATGGAAGCTAAGTAATTTGACATGTGCCCTTAAAGGGAATACTGGGATATTGGCTTTTCTTCCTCCCTTCTTTGCTTTCTGCCATCATGAGGGAGCAAAATAAACATGTTCCCTTAAGTCAGTTTATCTCAAGCAGTTGCTACATACTAAAGCTGATTAATGCTTTCCATTTTTCAGGATTGCTTGCTTTTTCCTTATTATATCTTTACCCTCCAAGCACATTGTAAATGTATATATATATATATATATATATAATTATTATCTGTCTCTTTTCTCTCTCCTCAACTCCAAACAACCTATACCCATATATGCAAAATATAAGCTTCAGAAGAAAGAAATTTTGTCTAGTCACTACTGAGACAGAGCTTGCTGCCACACAGTGAGTGCTTCACAAAACTTTGCTCATTAAAAGAATTCATGTGACCTGTGCTGATTAGTTTTTATCAACTTGGCACAAACTAGAGTCTCTTGGGAAGAGAGATGTCAACTAAGAATTACCTCCATCAGACTGATTTAAGAGCATGTCTGGGAGGCGTTTTCTTGATTAAGGATTGGTCAGGGAGGGACTGACCGATAATAGGCAGTACCACCAGAGGAGAGTTGTTCCTGGGCCATATGAGAAACAAAGCTGAGCATCCTTTGGGAATCAAGCATAGTCAGTGTTCCTACATGAACTCTTGTTTGAGCCTCTTCCTTGGCCTCCCTCTACAACGAACTGTAACTTGTAATCTGAAGTAAACCCTTTCCTCCCTAAATTGTCCTTGGCCATGCTGTTTGTCACAGCAACAGAGAATCAAGCATTGCCTTCGCAACATTTTCACATTGTTTAAGCACATTTTAAGGGAGAAAACTGCTTTCCTGAACAAAAGGAATACTCAGAATACTCACCTTTTCCCTATTGTATGGATGATTTCTTCATATCCACACCCTATGTAGAGATGGGCATTCTTTCGGGTGCTAAAATCCATAGCGCATTCTTGTTTTATTTCACTTCACCTGTATCTACATCACTTTGGGTTCATCCCAGACGAAACTGTACGTGGAAATGGGAAATGGCATTTTGTGCCATTAGTGGAGTGACAGGTTTTCATGGCATCCTTAAAATCATAGTAAATTGATCTGCAAAGAGAATCAACCTATCGATCATTATATATCATCAGTATGTACTGTTCCACCTTGTTTTACAAGATATTTTAGCCTCAGCTCTATATAAACTGATCTGTTCCTTGGCGTTTTTCCATAGTAATATCATACTTTCTGAGTATGGGGATGCCTTAGTAGGAGAGGAATTTGAAAGTTTTTTTCTCAGCTTAAACAGACTGAGAGCAAGTGTGAAGATGTGGAGGTGAGAAGGGTTGCTTCTTTTATCCTTCCAGTCTTCTCTTGTCTTCACCCCCGCCCCTCCGACACCTTACCACACTACCCCTCAACCCCTCCACCCCTCTTCTCATACCACACACGATTTGGCTTCCATCACAAATTCCTCAGAAGTGAGAGGGGTAAAAAAGAGAGGAAAAGACAAGCTTTTCCACAGATAATGTCTTGTTGTTGAAGACTTTGCTGCCTGACATGTTCTCCATGTGGGAGGTGTCTAGTGCCAGCTTTCCCAAGGACCACATGTATGGCTTCCTCAGAAAAAAAATCACAGCTTTCAAAGATCATAGTCTGCTGATGTGAGAGACTCTCCAATCAAGATGTCCCTGCTCTCTCTCCTCACCTCTGTCTGTAGATGCCCAATGTCTCACTTCCTTCCACAGGGGACAAGCTTCTCTAGACTTCATATACCTCACCTATGAAGTGTAAATAAAAAGAGTTCCTGTCACATACAGTTGTTGAAATAAAAATATGTGACCATCTATAAATATGCTTAATAATGTCTAGAAAAAATCTATCTGAAGCATTGTTTATGACCAATCCTAATTAAGCAGTTATTTTAGATACATAGTTCTCAAAAGAATATGACTCTCATTCCTTCCCCTGTCCTACCACAGGCGTATGGGAGATGATCAGTGCCTTCTCACAGCCATAAGGCCTGCCTGACAGTCTTCTCATTTCTGAATGACTTCCTCCCCAACCTGACCTACTCAGTAGCACCCTAACTACACTCCTGACAACCCATGGATACTCCTTCTCCTGATACCAAGGTGATTTCAGATTTTTCAAAACAAGAGAGAGATTTGAGAGATGTGGCTAAAGCCTTTTTATAAGAGAAAAACTACCAGGTTTATTAATAATTTAAAATTATAAAATTCCTGAGTGTTATTTTCTCACAGTCCCACGGTATATTAGTAAAAAGCAATCTACAAATTATTTGAGAATGGATAACATTCTGCTTCTCTGGAATCCACCAAGTTAGCACTTCTTGCAGCCAGAACATTCATCTTTGTTAGTACCAATCTGAAACAAAATTTTAGATGTTTTAACTCGAATATTATTGCATAGAAATTGATGCTGCCAATAACTAAGTGATGTGATGTATATAAGCACATGTGGTCATCCCAGTGAGAGTGATTTCCACAGCACCATTGCTGAAAGTAACATAATGCTGGAGAATCTGCTATATGTTTCCTACAGTTCTTAGCATACACTTGACAGTAATTGAGCCATTGAAGATTTGCAGTAAAACATCAGCCAGGCAGGAACCACAAGTAGAGTAATCATGACTCCCAGCTGCTCCTGTAAACAGAGAGACAGCATGAGCATTTGCAACATGTGCCAGCAAAGTTCCTTAGATAATAGGAGCAAGGAGGTTGCAAACTGGAAACAGAGCAAAACAAAAATCAATAGATTATTAAGAATTTTTTGAAGTTGCAAATATAAGTCAAGAGTCATGAGAAATTTTCTTAATAAAAATATATTAGTATCAGTTTTTGACATAAATGGAAAATTGTCTAGTAGATTAAATTTCATAATCTTTTAACTGCTGTGTGTACCCAGTTGTTTAACAGTGCAAAAATTCAGAAGCAATCTATAGCTCCATATATAAGTGAGAAACTTGAATCCAAACATCAAAGAAATTTAAACAACCTGTGTGGAAAGGCATAAATATGGGCACAGAAAAATGTACTATATTGCCTTGTAGATGATTGAAGTTACTTAAGAGGCTAAAGCAGAAAACTCACAGACTCAAGGCTTGCCTCTGCTTCAAAATGAGTTCAAGTCTATACTGGGTGATGTAATGAGGCCCTGTCTCAAAGTAAAAATATACTAAGGCTTGGACATGCAACTCATTTGTAGGGCAACTTGCCTAGCATGCACAAGGCCCTGGGTTCAGTCCCCAGTATAGAATAATAAGAGGGTAAAAGCCAGAGAGGGAGATGGAGAAAAAGGGGTGGGGTCACTATAAACAGGGGATGGGGAAGATAGTTCAGTTACTAGATCACTTTCTGTGCAAGCATAAGACCTTAGGTTGGATAGCCACCACACAGCCACATGAAAACTCTGACTTGGTGGCACATATGTCTAATACCAGTCCAGGGAGGTAGAGCCATGGTTTATTCCTGGGTCTCTCTAGACAACTAACCTAGCTGAATTTTCAAAGAGCTATGTCTCTGGGAGGTTCTCTGTCTCAAAAATCATGGTAGACAGCTCCTGAGGAGCAACACCTAAGATTAGATTCACACACACACACACACACACACACACACACACACACACACATGCACGCACACACGCACACTCCTTAAAACAAACAAAACAGAACCAATATAATTTTCTTCAACGAAAGACATTGGTTCTCAATCCCTCCATAACATGATATAAGGTGGTTTTTAAAGGACACCTTTAATAAATGAAATGTCTACAAAGACATCAACATGCTGCAACCAAATTTTTAAGAGTGTTAATAGTTTGGCTGGTTTTTTTCCCACCAAGTTTGCAAATTTACAAAGATTCTTCTATGACTTCAAGAAACAGCAGATTCCAGCCTTGAAAAAGAATTGTGTGGGGATATAGGGCTTCATGTTGCAAGCCAAATAAATTGTATTTTGCTATAATAATTATAATTAAATCGCTGAGAATTAGTGATAGACCTGAGAGACTGTCTGAAATTTAGAAGTATGACTCAGTTCCTGGTGAGTTCCATACTTGCAGCGATGAAAGGTAAGGACATTTGAATGAGGACTTCCCTAAAAGCACAGTAGTAAGTGTGGTGTTCACAGTATACAGATAAATACATGTGCAGTGATGAAACACGGAAAATGTGTAGCAGAGCAGTTAAGGTAGTCATGGATTCCAGGGTTTCCACTTTTTCAAGGTTCTAGGATACATTCTAGGATCCTTATTTATGGATTATAACAAGGATTACAATGAAAGAAATACAGGTGAGAAATAATTTTTTAAATCTTTTTTTATTTTTTGAAGAGTGAGAACTCTTTTACCATAAGACTCCATAGGTATAACATCCTTCTCTTACAGTAATTTGACTCGTTTATCCCTGTTAGTAGAGCACCTAAGTCCTTTCTTGATGGTTTACTGGGATAAGCCAACATACCGCAGGCACACGCCACTGCTTTTGACTAAGGATTTTTGTTTTGTCCCCCATAGTTAGATGCATCCTCTTCATTTCTCTGAGAAGACAAGAAGCATAAATTCTCCAGTGATGAGGAATTGTTCCTAAGCAGCTCTCCAAAGAACTACTGCTACACAAAGCGGCAATGTTTTGTGATCATAGTAACTAGCAGCAATGAGGAAACCATGGTGGTTCTTTGGATGCTGCTAGAGATGCTGAGGAGAGAAAAGGCCTGACATATGAGGGAAGGTACCCATGCTTGTATATGCATTGATTATGATTTCGCTTTCCAGACAATGCTTCTGCAGTAACTGGGATAATTTCAAACTTCTTGTAGAAAAGATATACATATCTCAGAAAGGATCTGAAATTAATATTTTGTATGCTTATTTAACACTTCTTATTTGAGTTGCTCCCGTGTTAAAAGAAATGATAGCTATTGGTTGTAGAATGATTGATATTGACAGTAGCAATTCTATGTAGGTTTGTTTGTTTGTCTTTCTGTTTTGAGACATCATAGATAGATGGATAGATAGATAGACAGATAGATATAGATAATTGATGCATGCATGCATGCATGCATGCATACATACATACATACATACATACATACATACATACATACATACATAGACTGGCTTGCTGAAAGCTGCTGTGTAAACCAGGCTGACCTCTAGCTCACAGAGATGCTCATGCCTCCTCATGCAGTACCATGCCCTGAATAAACCACAATTTCTGACTTTACTACTGTATGTCAAGCTCTCTGATGAATCTTGCATGGATGCATGAGTCTTCCAAAGATGATCACATTCACGAACAACCCAAACAGTGAAGCTAAGGAGAACTAGATTTTCCATAGCTGTTGTCAGGCATTTTCAGTGGCCCTTGCATTAGTTTTCTAAGTATGACCTCTGGTGGAATTCTGGGCTCAGTCATTTAAAAGTGGCCTTGTTCCCAATTAGCAAACCTTCAAAATGCCACTGAGTATTTTTTTAATTAAAATATGCCATCATTCCCACTCCTCCTTCTCCTCCCTCCAACTTCTCCCATGTCCCCCAACCCCCAACTTCCTTTCAAATTAATGAATCTTATTCTTTAATTATTATAGTGTGTGTGACTAAATATATAAATGCAACTCACACGCACTATCCCCTTCCTCTAGGGAATTCTGTCTAATACACCACTGTAGCTTTAGGTAAGTTTAGAATGGGCCCAGGGAGGAAGTTCTGCACTCCCCAGGGTATGCTGTATTAACAAGAAAGCAATTGGAAACTGTGGGGTGGCTCCATAATTTGGCAGCAGATTTGGTTTTGAACAATATTGTTGAAATTTCAAAAGTAAAGCTATCAAGAGCAGGACCACAAAAAGTCGTGACCAGCTCTCCTAGGTACACAAAGAGGGATGTTAACCAAATAGGAAACTTACACACACACACACACACACACACACACACACACACACACACACACACACACGAGAGAGAGAGAGAGACAGAGACAGAGACACAGAGAGAGACAGAGAGACAGAGACAGAGAGAGAGGATGAGGATTTATTAGATTAGGACTACAAAACATGGACCAAATCATCCAAA